GATACCGACGTCACTCTGACGCACGACGCGTCCTCCAGATCGCGCCCACGTGATCTTTTCTCCGCCTGCGGAGACACAAACGCAAGTTACGCAACTTCCATGCTCCTGTCCGCCAACTGTTGCCGTTCTCGAATGCACGTCACCACCTTGATCATGCGCAAGGCCATGATGTTATGCATGATGCAACAAGCTCTGGCATTAATTAACACACACTAGATTCAGCCAGCACGACAAACCGGGCTTGTCATTCACATCGTACACATTCGCAAGAGTATAGATAGGATAGAAACATACAGCATGCGTCAGTACAAGATAGCAATAGTAAGCAACCAATCAAAAAGTATGAGCATGGAAGCTTGGGTCTAGATATGCGAATCATCAACGTTCAAACAACAGCAAATGAAAGGTTTGATCATATACGACTTCGAAGGCTCGCGGAAGAGAAAAAGCACGACGCTCGACGATGGCACAGAGGACGAATGGAGAAGAGAAGGCTCGAGAACATGATCGACAGTGGGCACGTAGGGCGCGACGACCCCACCCACATCAAACATTGTACATCGAAGATTGTCGTCGTCGTCGCAGTGATAGACGCCAGTAACATGGGAACGTTGACCGGCGGCCGATGAGTACACCGCTCAGACGGACGTGAGTGTTGCGCTAAGCTGTCATCGAAGTCCAATGAGCCCGTACATCTTGTGTTGAGGAAAGGAAGACATACGCAAACCATATGAGTCGAGGCAGGGTTACTCGTTCTGTCGTTTACTCCACGTCGCAGTCGCAGTCTTTCTCCTTCCCCTTCCCAACCCAACTCTTGCCGCAGTTGTCGCACCATTCTCGGGACCCTTTCTCAACGCCAATGGGCCTCACAGCCGACGGTACCGATGTAACGGACTCGACACGATGGATAGACACGAGATGCCGCGTCAAATCATGCTTGCGACTGAACGATCTGCCGCACGACTTGTGGTGACAAGCGTACGGCTTAGAACGATTCGGGTCGTGGGTCTGGATGTGCGTCTTGAGATTGTACGCGCGGGCAAATGCTGCAACGAAAAGATGAGTACTTTGCAACTCAATAAGAATGAAGTTATAACTAACCTCGAGGACACGAAGGGCATTGGTACTTCCTCTTCGGATCATCATGTATACTCTCTATCTTCTTGTGCTGTGAGAGCATTGGGATAGACGGCACAGCGGGTAACTGAGGAGAAACGTTGGTGGGAGACACCGTCGACGTCGGGGGATTGTATTGACGTTTTCCGACCTGCACCTGCATTTGCGGATAGTAGTCCGAAGAGGCGCTGCCAATCCGAACTTGGTGCGACTGCGCCGGCTCGTAGTCGGAGAAGCTACCACGGGGAGAGGAATACGACGTCTGCGGCGAGTAATGGGCGATGTTGGGGACGCTGCCCGGAGAGTTACGCATAGAGGTAGGGTCCTCTGCGGTATGGAGGCCGATCCTCTGGAAATCCATATCAAGCTCTGAGGCGAACGAGTAGGTGCTCGCAGGGTAATTGGCTGATGCTGGCGAGCGAGCGTTGAAGTTGTAATAGCTTTCGGAACGGCTGGAGTGCGCGTCGCCGTAGCCAGAGTCATACCCTGACACCGACTCGGAAGAGACGGTGAAGGTGGAAGGAGGTCCACAAGTGGGTGTGTCCGATCTCAGAAAAGAGAAGATTTCTGCGTTCTCGGGTGGGAGAAGGTTGAGCTCCCCGTCGAATGCGTCGAACGCAGTGAGCGAGTCGAGCTCAGACTCGAATTGGTCCGGGTGGGGGGCAAGGACGTCGGTTGCTGCCTGCGTATTATAGAAGTCGAACGACTGCTTGTGATAGTCCAGATTGTCGTGCGGGTACTGGGCTGCGTCGCCGGTATGGTAATTGTCGAACGCGGCAGTGGGGGTATAGAAGGGAGCAAAAGCCTGTTCTGACATCTCGAAAAGAGAAGGGGAGGCGCTGCGGATTGGGGGGTTTTGTAGGATTGGAAAGTGAGGTTTTGGGGAGGGATAAGGAGACGGCTTGTGTGCTGTCGTGGAGGCAGGAGTCAAGAGGTCACTGCTGCGGATGCGGCAGCCAACGCGTGTTCCCACCCCTGCCTCGGGCTGTGCAACCAGCGAAGCGCCTGGAACTAATACGCCTGCCTTATTTGGGTCCATTGGGGTCCGCTCCTCCCACGCCAACCGTGGCCGCACTGTCCGTATCCACACACCAGACAACATCATTTCCTGCTCTGACAGCCAAATCGCAATTGTCTTGATATCCACTTCCACTGCCCCGTCGCGCAACCGAGTCTTGTCCACAAATCAAGCGGGTCCCATATTCCTATGTCCAATTTTTCCTCTCAGTTCTCTTCGAGTGACAAATATCACGCGGCGTGAGGTGTGAGCAACATCACAATGGTAAGCCGGGTTCGTTAGGGCCGTTCGGGACACACACGAAACCTCGTGCCGAACTTAGTTGGAGGGTATGTCATGGCTGTGCACTTTCGTCAGGCAGTTTTGTCACAGAACTTAAAGACGCATTCGTCAGTTGTAGACTGAAAGGTATCAGGTGAATGTAATCGTTTTATTTCCGTCGGACATGTTATTTTCTGATGCCGAGTCCCATGCCTCAGTTTGTCTGACAAATGTATACACTTGAAGGGCTCTAAATCACAGACATGATTGCCCAGCACAATTCATTTGACTCACATGTTCATTGTTTCATAAGTCGCTTGCTCCCAGCTTTGGTTCTTTCCGGATCTGCGCAGAGGTATGCAAACATGTGTTTCGCTAATGCTACCTCCGTTCTGAAGTACAATTGATCCTAATGTCACCGACGTCTGAGGGGAATTTCGAAACGCTCGGCTTAACCTGGGATTGAACCATATATTGTGCGGCTGAAATCTCATCTTCGACCGATTAACACCTATAGTAGCTCGCTTTGGTATGCCACCTTTCTAGACAAGACCACGGCAGCACTGGCTTCGTGTAGTGTGCGCGTTCCCGCTCCGAGGACACAGGTTCGCATGCCCCTTTCATCACGGACCTGAAGAACCATCAAAATGAAACACCCGCTGCGGATAATCCTGGTGTGTTCATGGGCGCCGCTATATCTTTCGGGCAGTACTGGTACGCTGACTCTGATCAGCATGTCCGCGTTCGCGTGCCTTGTTAGGCCCTTGACGGCTTCGCTAGCCCGCTAGCTTCAGATATCACTTGTGGAGCTCCCGGCCAGTCACATTCGTGAGAACAGGAAATGCTTGTGAACGACAGATGCGCAGCAGTTATGATGGCATGTAATTACCACATCGTTCCCTTCGAGGTGCTTAGATTAAGCCAGATCCATCCGTTCACGGGTTAGATCTTGACCTGGAAAGATAAGCCAGCGCGCTGGTGCCGGCGGATTCCCAACGTACTGCTTTGGCCAAGCGCCCGTGTACTTGCATCTCGAGCTCGAACTACGGACGGACTGCGAGTCCACCAAGCGCAGTACGCAGCGTCGTACTCGATATAAAGGCGGTTCGTCCAGACTGCGTAAGCTTTGTTTTCTGCCGCTATCGTCCGCCGATGTCTCAGAAATGGTTCACATCAGACGATCATAATATTGCTTGGTATGTCCTCGGCGTGTCTGTACCCACATTGTTCCTGTAGTGAGTGGATATTGCATCTTCCGGAACCTCACCTTCTGGCCCACTTGTCCCACACACAGCTACACGGTATAGGAGCCCTAGGACTGGCATTAATTTGTCCCACATACACATGCCGTCGCTGGGCGGAGGTCCTTCCCTTGCTTTCTGGCAACCTACATCAACTTCTCAGCTTCTACAGACAGGGACCATCAAATTCTGACTCATTGTGGCGTCCCCTGCTCTTACTATGTAAATATACTCTAGTAGCCACGGAGCATGCCTAGAATTCACGGTATGTCTCCTGACTTTAGTTGGAACCCCAGTTCCTGCTCAACCTCTGGTGTTGGGAACGGCATGTTCAGGTTCGCAGAGCTTCACCGCTTGTTTTCAAGGGCCAGTGCTTCCTTTCGGCACCGAACGCTCGTAGTGGCGCGTGTCTTAGGACTCGCCTCCCGAGGCCTACGTTGTCGGTCTTGACAAGAGGATCTTGTCAGTGATCACTCTTGTTGAAATATCTGTCACTTCCCAGTTGCCTCCCAGGCTATTTCTCCGCTAGAACTCGTTGCTGGCAGCTTCTGTGCCGTTGACTCGTTGCTTTGTGGATCCGTAGCGTGCGGCTTCCTGCAGGCAGGTGCATGTTGATCGCACGCCACGCCGCTCTAGCCTCGAGGAGCACGTCACATTGGCGTCAATATGTGGAGGCCTTTTCTTAACTTAATCCGGAGCTACCATGATATCTTTGTCTCCAGCTGACGGTCTACCTCCAGCGTACTATGTTGCGATATCGACCTAGGAAGTAATGCCATATGTTGAAACTCCTGGACTCATGGTATGTGACTCCTGATACATTCCGGTGATCGTGTGATGTTCGATTTGTGTCCCAACGGCTTTACCCAAAGATAGTTGCAACTTGCGCATGCCCATGACATTTCTTTCTCACAGCAGAGGCTCCGAGCGTCCAGGATGTCGTGAGGTGCCGTCACTGTCGTGTCTCATGGTAGGTTCAAGTTGACATCTCGTCTGCGATGCCATAGATCACATGTTTGTAGTCTGAAGAGTCTTGCCACTGCTTGGCATGGGTTTTTCCCTGCCGTGGTAATGGTTCGTTTTTTGGAGGTCTGCCCGCCTGGACTGGTGTAAAAAAAGCTGAAGGAAGGAAGCACGAAAGTCGAGTCGTTAAGCCCAGACGAATAGCGAGTTTCCCAGATACCTCGGTATGTCAGTGCAAGCTGGTCCTATCTCAGGCTCTGGTCCAAAACCAAGGTATTTTGTACGTTGAGAACGGGAAGACGACCCCATTGCGACGGCGAAGGCAATATTGTGGCGTCGCGGTTCTCGGAGAAGAACATTATAGACAGACATAGTAACTTCAAGAATAATGAGGATAGCATGCCCGCCTAGCTCAATCGGATAGAGCGTCAGACTCTTAGGAGATCACTTGGATGGGCATCTGAAGGCTGCGAGTTCGACCCTCGCGGTGGGCTAGTGGTCATTTTGCCCCGTTTGTTTCGCACATTTTGTTCAGATAAGTAGACATTGTTGTGGGGTTCCAGTCAGGTACTGTGCCAGTAGTGGTGTGAATATTTTGCTACCAATCTAGGTTTTTAGTCTTAGCTTGATAGAAGGAGACAGCTGTCTGAATGCAAACACCATCCGAGCTACACAATGACACAGTGGCAGTGCTAGTAAGGTAACACACGTACACATATTCTGGTGTGATACCAATGTATCGAAGTGCCGGTTTGAGATCTGAAATACAAGTCGAGCGACCAGTTCACGAATATATCTGAGCAAGACAAGTAGTCGTAATTGGCATAAGCATAAGACCAATAGATAGGCAACCAAGCATATACCTACACCCTGCACCGTGACTGTCAACAATTCAGCTTAGACCCCCCGTAGTAGGGTTCGAGCTGTAGAAGACTGCGACCATCAGCATCCGTGATTCACTGCTAGAGAAGACGTGCACAGGAGTGAGCACCGGGAGAATTTAGGACGCCATGCCGCATTAACACCAATGAGGAAGAAAGAGTGCAGCGCCGTGGATGGGCAATGCATTCATATTTCTGAGAAAACCCCCGGTGTCACTAGTAATAAAACACATACCGCCACTGGCCGACAGTTCAGAGCGAAAAATATCAGCCTGCCATGGCAGAACTTTGAAGCGCAAGTGAACCAGGGAAGATGCCAATAGTATGGATATTTGTCCGGATTTCTCGCAAGTTGGATCGATGGGCCAGGAATAGCTCTCGCATCGCTCCCGCGTCGTGATACATGCGGGAACCACGAGTGTGCTAGCAAAGCGTTACGGGTCCCCACCGCGAGGAGGCCGTGCGGTTTTCGTCACAAAGTAGACATATTATGATCCGAGTTTAATAGAAGCGGGCCAGGATGACGGAAAGCGGGGGACCGTTCTGAGCGGCTATAGAACCTGTGTGTGCTTCAGGATATCCATGAAACACTTCAAAGTCGGGGATTCAAGATATAGATCGTGATACGCAAGACAATGATGAAGGGGGCACTGCTCACAGCAACCTGTTTTGCATCCGCGGTGCTCTTGTGACGGAGAAGGGCGCATATCCTGTTCACGTCCAAACATAGAGCATGAGACAATTAGATCATCGTAGTGACAGGGTCGAGCTAGCACAAAGCGAGAAGAGCGATGCACTTTGACACGTCCGTTTTAGTTGTGGCCAACTTTAAGAACCCTATTTCGGCCATACTGGATTCTTTTTCTACTATGGTCGGCTTACAACTCGGGCGAACCTCAAAGTGCTAAGAGTAGACATGGAACTCACAGGACACGTATCAGTCGTTGAGGACAACTACTGCTAAAGAGCAGTGGCGGATTGTTCAGCAGGGAGTAACTGGAAAAAGGGAAAAAGGGCGTGGTGATGTCACCAGCGTACACCTGAACTGTCTGTTACGCAGTCTTGCTTTATGGTGCTTGCCCATGAAAATCGGCCGAGAAGCTGAGGCAAAGTCGACAAGTTGAAGCTTGCGTCGAGGCGCAACGCAGCCAAGCTGCTATGCATATATATATGGCAACAGGCGCATCAACACGTGCACGCGCTGGCCACGATCAAACTCCGAGACAGTCGGATGATGGATGCCACAGTGGCCACCTTCTGCTCTCCGACGTAACCTGTTCCACCTCAATTACTTATGGACGTCTCTGATTTGCACCCACCGGACGACAAGAGTCACAGGCTCTTCATCTGGCATGAATGGATTCAGGTGCTTTCGCTCGGAAAGCGTTGATGTCTACTACTGAGGGTTAACTTCATTCAGGCCAACGGTCCGCTGACTCACGAGAATGTCTTCGATTACTTCGCTAGTTCAATGTTCTACGACAAGCAGTGCAATAACTCGGTGCTGCGGATGCAAACAATGCATACTGGGACAGTCATGTCTCCAGAGACTGAGGCGGAGGAATTAAAGTAACTTGGCTATCTCTTATTAACATGTGAGGAATGCAACTGATCCTACTTAACTTACCCAGGCGGTTCACTGGTATAGAGTTTCTCATAGCACACTCTGAACCCCCGACATTCTTTATCATCCAGAAGAGGGATCGCATTTCACTCGATGAAGGTTCGCTTTATGATGATTGTAGTAGTGCTAACCGAACTCATGACATGGGATTATGTCTCAGCACGCTTGTTGGAAACATACTTCATCATGAACAATCGCATATTTCAAGCACCAGACGTTTACACGCTCTTCTCCAACAGACTCGTGAGTTTCATCGTCGGTTCAGAGGTGCTGCGGTACTAACGGAGCCAAGATGACGTCCTTGCATTCCATCCAAACGTCGATGGACACATTGCGGTCACGTAGGCCAGTGTATACTCCCCGAACAGGCTTCGTATGGCCCATCGTCGAACCGTCCACTCCAAGCGACTCCGCGAAGGAACGTGCCGCGGACGGGGACGCCCCGAGAAACGAGGCGGTCCAAGAATTGTCCGGGCCTCACTTAAAGCACAAAGCGGCGAGCACACGTGGACGACAGCAGAACAACATGTTGCTGTACAATGCTATGCGTACCACGGCGGTGCACGCGAATTCGTCGTTCACCCTACCCGTGGCTGCCTCTGAAAGTTCTATACCCGAAACGCCAGGTGCAGGCTCGGGTGCACGGTCCTCTGCTACTCCTGCGCCAGTAGTGCAGAGAGCGCCTACACCAAAAGTGCCGAATGTGCCTACGCCGCAAGAAGCGCCACCGGTAAAAGGACCACCTGGGGGAGGTAAAAAGAAGAAACGAAGTGAGTACTGTCAACGCTGGGATGTGCGGATGCTGTCTAACGATGTGAAGGAACGACTGCACAAACAGCGGCGGGCGGTTGACAGCCGCGACATAACTAAGCATCCGCAATGGTCAGACTCTCTGTTCTCGCGAACATAACGCAGTCTGATCTCACTACTATTTCCTTATCGGAAGCCCGTCACCAGGCGGCTCGATATTGATAGCAAGGATACCACACAAGCGGTTCGCATTGCAACCTTCACCACCCCGATGTAACATGTAGTAATGTCTATCTATTCGGGAGATCAGAAATTATGCACCCCACTGAGTGTTCAAGGAGCTTAAACTTTTGGATTCCGGGGTAACCTGTTCAACGCCTATAGCTTGCCTTTATTACAGGTCATAGTTTTTCTGCGAGCTGTACTACATAAAGAGACGGCGGAGATAGGAATATGTACTCCGGTAGAATGGATCAGAATTCTGCTTCGACAACGACTACAGCAGCTTCCTGCTCATCAAAATATCCCTTCATGTGCCTCATCCACGCACCTTGGGAAATAGACAAAGCAGCGAGCACCTTGCTCTAGCGCCGACTTGCACCTAAATGATTCCCATGTAATCTTAACAGCACTGAGACGCGCCAGTTATACGCGTGCCAGACCAAGCCACTCCTCGGAAAATTGCACAAGGGAGGGGGACCTCCAGATATCAAGAAATAGTCATTCCAACGAAGCATTCGGCTCGGGCCTTGAAATTTTGAAAGCTTGATATGAGGTGTTCGCGGATCCAAGAGCTCCTTTCACGATGGCTGCGAAGGGAAATGAACACTACTTGTCTGCGGTCGAACCATGACCCAACTGTGATATTGGGGCTTATCAACGCGCAACAGACAAAAGCGGGTTAAAAATCTTCCCATAGCCCACCGCGAGGGTCGAACTCGCAGCCTTCAGATGCCCGCACTCATAAGAGTCTGACGCTCTATCCGATTGAGCTAGGCGGGCAACGCGGTGTTATTGGTTTGTTGTACTGTAACGGGCGGGTAAATACGACCTTAATACATGTACTCACTTTACGGTGAGTTCATTCTAAGCAACACTTCGTGTTTTCGCCCTGTTAACATATCATTGATGAACAGACGGCTTGCGGTACTCGATGGCGATAAATTGGACCCACCGAGGTGATGACATTATAGTGGAGTCGTGGTACCACATATTGTATCTGAGAAAACACCAAAGTTCGAGATTTCTCAGCCGCCAGAGAAAGTTGCAAATACTGTCAGCACCCCAACCGTGGCCAAGTTTGTTGAGACTCGACACGACAGCCGGATGAAATCAGGAACATGGGCCTCGAGGCAAGGTGACCCTGAATTCTCTTGGGCCATACTGCGGAAGTAGGGCGATTCAACGCACGGTAGTTGCTTGTCAGGTGGCCGCATCATTCATGCAACGTGATAAACATGAGGCGAGGAGACATTGTGAGTATAACGGAAAATGTCATTGATGCGATACTGGTGATACAACAGTGCATTCACAGGCAGGAGAGATGGAGTGAATTGCGGAGGTACATTACACGCCAACCCTGCACAATTATTAGTAACGAGCAACAAAACAGCCCGCCCGCAATACGCACCTATGTACAACCTTGTTCTGCGAGATGACATATGTCCAATCAACACTGGCCGACTACTCAAGCATAGCGTATATCTCACCTGTCCCGAGAAGCGGATGATTTCCCTCTTCTCCATAACAAACAGTGTCCGCTCGAGTGCATGGCTTGAGTACCCCTGCTGGGTGACGAACTCGCGCACAAGGCTTTGGTAGCTGGTGCTCCAGCCAATTGGAAGTCGGCGGCGCACTTCCTTCTCGATCTTTGCCATCTCCGCGTTAAGTTCCCCACGCGAGAGCCCATCGGCAGAACCGGCAGACACGGCGTCCATGGTTGAGCACTTGAAGAGTCGCAGTGCCTCCTCGACGTGGTGATTCTGCACAACAGGCGCAAGCGAGAGTTTTGCGAGTGACTCTGAAATGCGGATGATCGCTTCCAGTTGACTAGACGGATATGAATGTAATTGTCCTATTGGTGACAGGATATGAGAAGTTGAGAACATACCGGATGGTAATGGGAATGGAACTGCGCTCATCGTTGTCCTGCTCAACCTGCTGCACCTGCTTGCGCAGCGAGACGAAGTGGCTACTTAACATCTCCTGCGCCTCTGCTGACAGGCGTGGTGCGCATTTT